GTGATTTAATCAGGTGAACCTTCAAGGATGCATTGCTATTCTTCTAGGTCCAGTTTTACAGCAAGTAATTCTCAATTTCTGATGAAGTAGTTTTTCTCTGCTGGGGAAAATAACTTTGAGAAAAACAGCAGGTGGCTGCCTAGTTCCACTAAGGTACTGAAAAAGGACTGCTCCAACTCCTGCAGAGGAGGCATCATCTTCAGTGGGGAAAGGTTTGGTAATGTCTGATAGCACACAGATATAGCAGGGCCAGAAAGGAAAGCTTGTTTTAGTGAGTAAAATGCTTCTACTGATTTGTGCAACCAGTTCTTGGGATCATTGTTTTTCCAAGTATGGGCTTTTATTGGGGTCATGGCATGAAGTAGAGGTCAAGAAGCTGCTTATATTAGTTGGTGAAGCCCAAGAAGTTCTAGATAGCATTTAGGTTGCTAGGCAAGGGTCAGTTGGTAATAGTGGCAGCCATTTCAGGGTCCACGAAGAGTCCATCCTTGAAGACAACTAAAAAGGGCACTTGAGTGAGTTTAAGGGAACACTCTTCTTCTTTAACATAGAGCCCATTTGTCCTGAAGATGCTGGGTGTGAGGTGGACATGCTGTCTGTGCGCAGAAAGATTTGGAGAAAACAAAAGAGTATATCATCCAAATAGATGGCCACACAAATAGAAAGTCCTGAAAGAACTCATTCACAAAATGCTGGAAAACTGCAGGGGTTTTGCACAAAGGGCAATACAAGATATTCATAGTGGTTGTCCCTAGTGTTGAATGCAGTTTTCCACTCATCTCCTTCTTTTATGTGAATCAGACTGTGAGAACCCTGCAAATTTATTTTAATAACATTTGAGCCCCATGGAGATAGTCAAACAATTCAGAAATGAGGGGCAATTGGTGATGGCTCTTTATTGTGATGGCGTTCAGTCCCCTCGATAGTCTATGCAGGGGCGAAACGAGCTGTCTGATTGGATGCTGCAACCTTGGATGCCATCTTTATTGAGGGCAATGAATGGCACTGCCTCACTTCGCATGCAGTTGCGAGGTAGATAGTGTAGGGACAGGTTCATCACTGGATAGGGAGAGTGCAGTAGCGCTAGGGAAAGGTTCCTGTGGAGGAGGGACACAGTAGGAGATCTGCTGCTGCTCCACTGATCTGGGACTTGAGTGACCTGAAGACTTCTGCCAGTCTGCAGATGTGCCGCACCGCTACTTTGAGTAACAGCCACCCTCTTCATTCAGAGGCTATTGCCGGTTCAGTAAGCAGCAGTAAGTTAGATACCAATAGTTGGCTCTATCACATTACCCCTAGTCCTGATATAAGTGAACTGCGTATTAATAAGGTTCTGCTGCCACAATTCTGGGATTGCTGAGTAAGCTTCTGCCATTTCCTTGGCACATGTAATTGCTGTTCTGTTGATCTAATCACAACGCGCCAATTACTTGGTCTCTGAGTGTCTTTCCTCCACCTCAAGTACCAGTTGTGTGGCCCCGTCCACAATCTTTTTTACAAATAGGTTGCTTAGTTTGATTTAATCTGCCGCCCCAGCTGACTATACCTATCATTAAACATATTCCCTCCTCCTCTGCCTATCCTGTATAAAAAGGATCTGTATACTGTATTGGGTCCAGTCATGTGATCCTGCAGATCTGTGTAAGGTGGTCTTTACAATGGCTCTAAATTCCTGGGATCTGTGATGTCACCCATAGGCTCCCATGACCCAGCTGTTGTTGGCACTCCCTCCTCTCCCCTATAGCAGCTGCTCACTTACACAGGGAAGTCAGAGCTGAGGGATCACATGACCAGACTGGATTAAAAATAGGGAAGTATATAGATCTTTTTTTAATACATGGTGGGCAGGATAGGTAGGAGGAGGGGGAGGGAGTTTTTAAAAAAATATCTATGTTTAGGCTTCTCTTTTGTTTCAATTTTTCCTTATAATAAGACAAACCACACCTACACAGAAGAAGAACAATGTCATACACAGACCAATACTAATCAACAAAGGTTTGGATGAATGAAAATAGACTGACGTTCTCAGGAAAAATCAAATCCTGTCAGTGGTGCAAAACTCATAGCCACTTTCTAAAGTTCTGGCTTAAAGGCTAAGTTCACCTTCTGAACACGTTAGATGTCCCACCCATGTTTAGGGTGTAACATGTTCAGCAACCTCCCCCTGCACCCCCAACCCCCCTTCCCTGTGACAGGGGTCTTTTAACCCTGCACCCGCTGTAACATTTTAAAATCAATGTGGATGTGCAGGGCTCCACCCACACAGCTTCGTCAGTCATTCACAGAAACTTGTGAATGAGAAAACTACAAGTCTCGTCTGTCACTGCAGCAGATGACTTGTAGTTTTCATTGAATTGTGAGGGCATTGATGAGCTCCCTCGTAGTTCATTCACACTCCCTCCAGATTGCAAACTGACAGACCGTACAGCGGTACAGGCTGAAAGCTGGAGGGAAGGGGTGCAGGAGCCTGAAAGTGCACCTGTAATCTGCTGATCATAGGTGAAATACTTTACAAACTCCTGTTTAAAAAAAAAATGCTAATTTTTTTAAGCTGCAAAAAATATGTTAAAAAAATCATAATGGTGAAGCGCTATGCTTGGAAATGATCATAAACAAAAAATGTGATAATAAAGTGCAATAAAAAGTGAATAAAAATAAATATATCGAAAATGTATATATTGCTGATAATCCCACACTATTGATAATGTGCAAAAACTGCTGTTCCCAATTCCATAAATAATGTGCCACTCACAGAACTGACTAGACTAAGGTCCACATACCTCAGACCAGATCAGATAAAAATAGAAAATAATTCATATAAATATATTGTAAAAATGAATTAAATCGTGATATAAACAAGTGCAATAAGAATAAATAAATAACACAGAGGTAATAGATGAATATAATATCACAGTGATAAAGTGTTGATAAACCCACACTTGTGATAATGTGTAAACACTTAATCAATTATATAACTGATATGCCAATCAAACGACTAACCAGACCAATTTGTGGGATAAACCAGTGGTGTTACTACTAAATCTAATTCAAAACAAAGTGACAAGTGCTCAAGATATACAGCATAAATATATTCACAGAGATGCCATCCACAATAAAGTGCAAACCAATGTGTGCAAATAATATTGGTGTGCAAATATGCAAATAAAGTGCTTCACTTCTCCACTCCAAGCTTGATATGTGCTCTGGTGACACTCTAGTGTATCTATCCTTAAGTGACTAGAGTGCCTCCTCACCTCCTTAACTCGACCCCTAGGGGCCACAGCTCATTTGGTTATCAGATGTTCCACACCATGAGGGATCTCAAACACCTGGCTCCACTGGCTCCACAAAAAAAATGTGCAGTTCTTATTTTTTTGTGAAAGGGAAACTTATCCTTTGAAGTATATCTAAACCCAAAACCAAAAATGTATTATGCTGCAGACTACTAGTCTTAGATGTGATGGCTACATTTGTTTTCTTTTTTTTCAAAATTCTTTGCTTTATTTTTACTTGGCAATTATATCACTCATTTAGTGTAACTATGGGGGATGCTATGATTATCACCCTATGCTGCACTCCTGATATAGACTGCAAACATGTCTATCTCTTAATTTCCTCTACATGGAGATCATGGTAATTGGTAGTTTTAGCTAGATTCATTAAATTGGCAAAAGTATTGGGACGCCTGCCTTTACACACACATGAACTTTAATGGCACCTCAGTCTTAGTATGTTTCAACATTGAGTTGTCCCACCCTTTGCAGCTATAACAGCTTCAATTCTTATGGGAAAGCTTTCCACAAGGTTTAGGAGGGTGTCTATGGGAAGGTTTGACCATTCTTCCAGAAGTGCATTTGTGAGGTCAGGTACTGATGTCTGACGAGAAGGCCTGGCTCGCAGTCTCCGCTTTAATTTATCCCAAAGGTGTTCTGTCTGGTTGAGGTACAGGCCAGTCAAGTTCCTCCACCCCAAACTCACTCATCCATGTCTTTATGGACCTTGCTTTGTGCACAGGAAGGGGCCAACCCAAACTGTTCCCACAAAGTTGCATTGAACTTGGTGATATAAGGCTTGGATGCAGCTGCCCGGCCATGGAAACCCATTCCATGAAGCTCTCTACGCACTGTTGTTGTGCTAATCTGAAGGCCACACAAAAGTTTGGAGTTCTTTAGCTACTGACTCTGTAGACAGTTGGTGACTTCTGCGTACTGTGCGCTTCAGCATGCGCTGACCCCGCTCTGTCATTTTACTTGGCCTACCACTTCGTGGCTAAGTTTGCTGCTCCCAGCTGCTTCCACTTTGTTATAACACCACTAACAGTTGATCGTGGAATATTTAGTAGCCAGGAAATGTCACGGATGGACTTATTGCACAGGGGGGCAACCTATCACGGTACCACGCTTGGAATTCACTGAGCTCCTGAGAGCGACCCATTCTTTCACAAAAGGTTTGTAGAAGCAGTCTGCATGCCTAGGTGCTTGATTTTATTTACCTGTGGCCGTGGAGGTGATTGGAACACCTGAATCCAATGATATGGAGAGCTGGCCCAATACTTTTGGCAATATAGTGTAGCTAGAAAGGAGGATATTCTTTGATTAAGCTCACAGGAAGTGACAAGAACACTGCATTCCTTGGGAAGATCAACAGGTATTTTATGTATTTGCTTGAAAATGTTCTTAGCTTGAAAAAAAACCTAATGCAGACACCACACCACTACACAGACTATAAGTTGCAATATTTTAGTTTTTTCTTTTTGAGTTTAGTTATCCTTATAAGGATATGAGTTTTTAAAAATAAATGGAGTTATACTGGAATCAGGAAGAATTTAGCAGGCTTGTTGTCTTTGTAGTGGGCCAGGGTCTAATCTAGGTAATGCCAGATTGTGTTCACAGACTGAAATCTGAATTTGTTGTTTCTACAGATATACTGTACTTTTCAGAATGGGTCAAAGACACTTCACAGAGGGGTTGTGTTTTATTGTGAATATAATGTATAATTACCTTTTTTCTCCAGCTCTTTTCTTCCATATTGGATATATTGTCTCAACTTTGGAATACAGATATTCTCCAGATAATTCTTCCTTCTCTCCCCAGCTCTGCTTCCAGGGCTGTTCCATTCTTGTGTAGTGATCTCAGCCTTGGGCATGGTCGGGATATAGATCCATCTCTGTGTGTCCAGGTAGGCAAAATCTCTCCCATCATACCCAATGTGGCAATACCCATTAGTGCTGCCATCATCATTCAGCTCACAGCCAAAAGTCACCTGGAAGCAATGGACTCCTGCATAATTCAATAAAAAAAAAATGTTACACAGGCACAGAATAGGTTGCGTAATGACTGACATGACATGTATACAGAGGTGTATATACCACAAGGCAAACAAGGCATTTGCCTAGGGCAACATTTTTCAGGGGGGGCAGCACTGCCCCTCAGAAGAAGGGACACACTCGGCATAGGGAACCTGGTGGGTTTCGAGAGAGGCTGTGGTGTTCATGACGGTGTATGCACAGCCCGACTCTCATTCCGGGGGATGTCCGGAGCTGTGAAGGTGAGTGTCTTTCTGTCTCTCGCCAAGGGGGATGGTGGCTGGTTTATGGAGGGCAGTCTTAGTGGAAGAAGACTCTCTCAGGTGGGAGGCAGGGTGTTGTTGGTCAATGTCAGGCTCTCTCTTTGGGGAGGCGCCAATTTTTGTGTTGCCTAGGGCAGCATGAAACATAAATACACCACTGCATGTATACACATGTATACACATGTAATGTGTTCTAGTTCAGACATGGAGAGGTACCAGTAAATTTCCACATTTAAAGGGAATACATTGTGGTTTAATGTACATTTTCTTTCTTATTATTATTATGGTCGAGACTAAAAACAAAAAAATTTATGTTTAATTTTTCTCAAAATGAAATGTTACATATTACACATATTACATTTTTGTATTCTCATTTTGGGTCAGCAAGATGATCTTTAGGTTCCTTTTCACATGTTTATCGATTTGCCTCTCTGTTGTAAAAAAGACTGTTGCTTACAGACCTCAGTAGATAATACAAGAAGATACAAAGGACTTTCTTGATGACATCCAATAATCAGCAACACAATATATCATATAAAACTTGTATTTATTGGAAATAACATTAAAATCATATGATAAAATAGTGTACACCACTTAAATTAACACATAGAATGTCCCCTAGCATAGAGCAGAGGTCTCTGGTGACAAGTCCCTTTAATTGTCACATATATAATACAGATTATATTTTTCATAGATCATACATGGATGCATTCAATGTTCAGCTTTCCTTACAGCTTGAATATTGACCAAGTCATAACTCAAAGCATTTAATTTAAAGCTTCATCAAGTGTACAAAGTCACAAGGAAATGAAACAATAATCATGATCTATATATAGACATTGTGATCTGTATTAAACAGATTCAAATACATAAACCTAGTTGCTGGACCTTTAACTATTTTAACTTACTGAACATCAACTTAATTGTACTTTGATATGCCACAGGAATCAAACCACCATTCTGTCACATGGTATAAATCAAGATTGCAGGCACCCCAGTTTGCAAGAAAGAGGTAGCCTGTAAATAGTAACTAATAAAATATAACATAAACCAACATAACTGATTTTCAATCACCCAGTGGAGACAAAAAAAAATCTTCATATTTAATTGGCTAGTTCAGGAAAGAATGACACCAATAATATAGATCACAAATGAAAAGTTCCCATAATAGATGGGCAGGCCATATCTATGTTCTGCCCATCCAACCCAAATAACCTGGGGGTGCTGCTTCATGTGTCCTTTAAAAATGGTCACTCTGTTCCCAATATACAAGTGTCAACAAATACAGTTGCAAGAAAAAAGTATATGAACCCCTTGGGATTAAGTGGAGTTTTGCATGAATTGGGCATAAACTGTGCTCTGAACATCATCTAAGTCACAACAATAGAAGAACACAGTCTGCTGAACATAATACTACACAAACATTAGATGTTGCCATGGTTTAATTGCACATAACATGTAAACATTCACAGTGCAGGTAGGAAAAAGTATGTGAGGCCCTAGCTTAATGACTTCTCCCAGAGATAATTGGAGCCAGGAAGTGATCCAACCTTGACTCCAATCAGTGTGATGATATTGGATGTGTTGCTGACAGCTGTTCTGCCCTTAAAAAACACACACCTGTTTTGGGTTTACTGGTTTCAAGAAGCACTGTCTGATGTGAACCATGCCTCGCAGTAAAAGAGCTCTCAGAAGACCTACGATCAAGAATTGTTGACTTGCATGAAGCTGGAAAGGGTTACAAAAGTATCTCCAAAAGCCATGATGTTCATGTGTCCACGGTAAGACAGACTGTCTACAAATGGAGAAAGTTTAGCACTGTTGCTACTCTCCCTAGGCGTGGTCGTCCTGTAAAAATGACTGCAAGAGCACAGCGCAGAATGCTGCATGAGGTAAAGAAGAATCCCAGAGTGTCAGCTAAAGACCTACAGAAATTTCTGGCACATGCTAACATTTTTGTTGACACATCTACAATAAGGAAAACATTTTAAACAAGAATGGAGTACATGGGAGGACACCACGGAGGAAGCCATTGCTGTCCAAAAAGAATATTGCAGCACGTTTGAAGTTTGCAAAAGAGCACCTGGATGTTCCACAGCACTACTGACAAAATATACTGTGGACAGATGAAACCAAGATTGAGTTGTTTGGGAAGAACACACAACACTATGTGTGGAGAAAAAAAGGCACAGCACACCAACATCAAAACCTCATCCCCACTGTAAAACATGGCGGAGGGAGCATCATGGTTTGGGGCTGCTTTGCTGCCTCAGGGCCTGGGCGGATTGTTGTCATTGATGGGAAAATGAATTCCAGAGTTTATCAAGACATTTTGCAGGAAAACGTACAACCATCTGTCCGCCAACTGAAGCTCCGCAGAGGATGGTGATGCAACAGGACAATGACCCAAAGCATACAAGTCATTCAACAAAACAATGGCTGCAACAGCACAGAATACGCCTTCTGGAGTGGCCCAGTCAGAGTCTGACCTCAACCCGATAGAAATGCTGTGGCATGACCTTAAGAGAGCGATTCACACCAGACATCCGAAGAATATTGCTACACTGAAACAGTTTTGTGAAGAGGAGTGGTCCAAAATGACTCCAGATCGTTGTGCAGGTCTAATCTGCAACTACAGGAAACGTTTGGTTGAGGTTATTGCTGCCAAAGGAGGGTCAACCAGTTATTAAGTCCAAAGGTTCACATACTTTTTCCTCCCTGCACTGTGAATGTTTACATGTTATGTGCAATTAAACCATGGCAACATCTAATGTTTGTGTAGTATTATGTTCCGCAGACTGTGTTCTTCTATTGTTGTGACTTAGATGACGTTCAGAGCACATTTTATGCCCAATTCATGCAAAACTCCACGTAATCCCAAGGGGTTCACATACTTTTTTCTTGCAACTGTACATTAATTGAGCAAGAAATTGAACACATGCCATAGATCGCACCCAGAGTAGTATAATATAATATGTGCCCCAACAAAGATTTATTAAGCCAATGCTACAGACAATATGTAAGTCAAACTTAAAGTGTTACTAAACCCACAACAGTAAAAATCAGTCTGTATATGCAGTAAAGCATGCTTGTTATACTCACTGTGAACGTAAGGGGTTAATCCTCTGCATTGTGTGAAAAGGCTATTTGATCCTTTCTTCTCTGCCCCTCCTCTTGTTCAAATATCCTAGCTGATAAGACAGACTGAACCCGTAGCCCTTCTGCACATGCTCAATTTGGTGTGTATTGCTATAAAAGCTTTTTTTTCTTGGGAGGGTGAATGTGATCAGCACTGGGTTAATCAGCACTGTTCAGACAGAGGTCAGGGGTTCTGCAACCTCCTAGAGTAGAATGAAAACTCCTCTTACAAGCTTTAACCAGTGCTCTGCTGAACACTGATAAAAGTCACAAGACTGCTCTAACTGCTGATGAGAAAAGGTATTTAGCAGTTTATATTTACTAAAATAATTGCAGATCCATCTTTTGTGTACTGTGGGAGACCGATATAGTGAATGCAGGGTCCTGGGTTTAGTAACACTTTAAGTAGTTATCCTCTGCTAAGATGTCTAGTTCCTTGCCTTCCTACACTGTCCACAGGAGAAAGCCACAATCAGACTTTATATATGCGATATAAGCCCCATTTGTGTTTATGTCATTGTGTGATTTAAGTGGTGATTTAAGGAAGGAATTTTTTTCCCCTGCAGGAGCAAATTGGATCGTGCTTTGATGGGTTTTTTTTTTCCTCTGGATCAACTGTGGGTGGGATTATAACTTTTTTTTTTTTTTTATGGTTGAACTGGATGGACTTTTGTCTTTTTTCAGCCAGACTAACTATGTAACTATTTTATCATATGATTTTTTTATATGCAATAAATATAACTTTTATATGATTTATTACTTTGAGATTGTTGTATGGCACCTAGAAAGTTCCTTATACCTTCTTATACCTTCTTATATTATTTCTTGAGTATGTGTAGGGATGTGGTGCCATCATACACCCACCGACATTCCTAAAAGTTCATTTACTGACCTCAATATCTCAAAATAAAATATTGCCATAAATATTGCCTGACAGCCGAACGAAGCAGGAAGCGGCCTTGATTGGCTCTCCTTTATTGTAAACCAGAAGCGATGGCCTGGTATCACTTCCAGTTTACTTGGAAACTTTTGGCACCATTTTTAAAAATTTGAAAGCACTTAGAAACACTGATCTTGGTGTTTTGAATGCTTTCAAATGCAGAGGAAGGATTTGGGGTTTTATAGGCCCCAGATTTTTCCACAGAAAATACTTGTCAGGTGTCTATTGCTGTCATAGGGATGTTTAACCACCTCCCGCCCGGCCGTTGTATATAAACGGCCGGACGGTGGCACTGCAGGGTCGAGTGGCTGTTTATAAACGGCCTCCCTGCACCCTGCTTGTGCGCGCAATCCTTCGGACACAGTGGAACACCAATCGTCGGACGGGACCTCTGTACGAGATCCCTATTATGTGATCACTGATTGGCCAGTCAGTGATCACATGCAAAGTAGTAAGCAAGATGTCACTTGTGACATCATTGCTTACTACGTGTGAAATCTGTGAATGATCATAGAGGTCACATGGTACAAGGCTATTCACAACAGCCTTTTACCATGTGACAAGCTGTGACCAATCACAGCTCGCTCAGTAGTTTTCAATGGCTGCAAGAATGCAGACAGAGAGAAAGAGAAA